CTGTATTAAATCCAAACGTTGGCACCTTTCCTAATTACTGAGCACATACCGGGAGCCAAGTGGCGCTTCCTAACCTGGGCTGAACCCCCCTCTGCAGTGCAGCGTCCCCTGAGTATGGGATGATATAGGAAATGCAGAATTCAAATTAGGCTGACAGAGAGCAATTACCGCGGGAAAAAAAGATCCCTTACTCTTTGGGAAGAAACGCATCAAAATCCAGATACAGTGTATGAGAACTTTTTATCCACTTCCTCTCATTTCTACGTGCTTCGTCCACCGCCCTCACTTCTTTCACGTTATTATCCCTTTTTCTGTTTTCTCACTGGAACACAGGTCTTATGTAATTTTCTCCATCTCTCTCCCGATAGGTGTCTCTTATCTCACATTTTACCTCGCAGCTTCTTTTTCACTTCTTTCTCTTCAATCTTTTCCTTGCCCTCCCCTGTGTGTGTGTGTGTGTGTGTGTGTGTGTGTGTGTGTGTGTGTGTGTGTGTGTGTGTGTGTGTGTGTGTGTGTGTGTGTGTGTGTGTGTGTGTGTGTGTGTGTGTGTGTGTGTGTGTGTGTGTGTGTGTCGTAGTGTGTGTGTACGTGTGTCGTAGTGTGTAGTGTGTGTGTACGTGTCGTAGTGTGTCGTGTGTGTAGTGTGTGTGTGTGTGTGTGTGTGTGTGTGTGTGTGATGTGCAGAAAGAATAGATGGTTGTTTCCACTGCATTGCCATCAGTGGGCTATAATTGATGATAGCCATAGAATAGAGAGCCCTATTAAAAGCCTATTTACAGGATCTCCGAACGCATCGACGATGCTTTTACTGTTGTTGACATCGACTTAACAGTTATGAGATTGCATTTTCAGGGGCTACGCGAGGCAGTTGTGAATAAACAACATAGGAAACTATTGTTTGTGAATTCCTGTTTTGTACTCCCCAAATTAATGTCACATTGTGCTTCTTGCACTCGGTAAACATCTCCGCAATCATTCATATTTTGCGGCCAACAGGTTCCAGGATGTAATTGGAAAAATATTATTTATTACTTTTCCTGCACTTAATCACCTTGATGTGCTTTGTTCATATCCATGTATCAATCAATGCGGCCTCTCTATCGGTTCTTTCATTCCGTCAATGCCTCTCGTGCTCATTAATGTACAGCCAGCAAGGTGAGGTGATAGATATATGTAAAGTATTGTGATGCTGTGAGATGTTGATTACACTGCCAATAGGCCGGGTTAATTATTATGTGCAAGAGTCACACATCTCCGCTGGATTAATTGAAAGCTCTCAGCATGTCTGTGTAAGTGGCTGTCCAATCTGTGAGTCTGTGTCCTCTCATGTCGTCTCTCTATTGCTCATCATCAGCCGCTGCAATCAACTGCTCTCCTCTTCCCTCTTAAAGCTTTTTCCATTTTTATCCGTCTCGTATCATTAGCTTATCAACCCCTTCCTTCTCACATTATGGCGGAATATGTTGTGCTGAAAACCTTTATTGTAAAGCACTTGGAAAATCAATTATTACTCTGTAACACAATACGGCACATTTCCCCTCCCATCTCCACTCCTTCGCTTCCTTCCTCGTCTTCTCCATCAGAGCCATCATGTGGGCTTTGTGTCTTATGTTCGCCCCAGGATGTCAAATTCAATCTCAAGCGCCCCAATTCAGCGGTAGTAAAAACCCCGTCCGTCGCTTTAGCCTCAAAAGCTGCTTCAGCCTCCGCTTGGTCAGATAAATCTTAGTAGCTCATCCTACTCCTATTTTCTTTTCATCCTGGACCCCCCGGTGGCCCACATTAGAGCCTGCAGATGGCCAGGGGAGATTTAGCCGCTGCAATCCATCAACGTTATGTAGCCTGAACCACTGGACGGCCGCTCCGCTAACCTCTCCTCCAGCTGGACCGTCCGGCCCTCCTTCAGGCCGGCTTCAGCCAAGCTTGGCCCACTTTAGTAAACCTTTAGCCCCGCTCCGGCCTCTTCACGCCCGGTGCCAAAATCAGCTCTCCTTTCAATTCTTATTGAACCAACATGAACCGAGCTGCTCCCTCTTGACAAGGTCGACTAATTGTCTCACATCTTGCCTTTTAAGGTTTGTAACTGTCAAGTAAGAACATGATCTGAGCACAATTCTGTCGGCCCTTTTTATTCAGTCACGTACACTAGCAAGACTCGGTTTTGCCAGACATCTGCCGTGGATCATTTATCCGCTCCCCTCAGAGAGTGCCAGGCTAAACAAGTTTCAATTGATGATACAAGGATGAGTTATTCTAATAAGAAAGTTAATGTTCTTATTATACGAAAACAAGCGGACGTTCTCACGCTGGCCTGAGACAAACATGAAATGAAATACAGGACTACTTTGAACACATCAAGCTGCCGGTGTCTGCTACATTTAACTGTGTTACATCTGAATTAAATTAATGGTCAACCGAAAGCTTAAATGGGCTCTGTGATTAAGTCCCAATGCTTCTGGTTTTCTTCAGTGGCGGAGAGTTTTGTTTTATCTGATGTTCTCTGAAACGGCAGTAAATCATAAATTATAGGGGAAGGCTTAATATGTTATCCCCCCGTTGTGATGTAACCAGTTTTCTTTATCCCCATTCCTAGGATTGATAACGTGGGATGCACCACTTGGAAACAACACAGCATCTCGAGCACACCTCTCTAAAAGAAATGGTCTTCTTCCCGCTACAGGCTGATAGACACGGAGTTAGATTGGTTCTGTTGAATAAGAGATGAATCTCTTTTGGTGTCACTGTGCAGCTATGACCTCTGAAATATCATTATCTACAGGGGGAGGGAGGTTAACGTCTGTAATATAGCCTGAATACAAGAGAGGGCTTCCACAAGTGAACATGATCCTGCTTATTACCGGTGTATCTCGTGAAAAAAGGGTGTTTTATTCTACTGTCACTGTGGCATGCAGTGTGTGAGAACGCCCAGACACACCTAATGACATCATTTGTTTTCCACAAATATGATGTGCAGCCGGAGGCGTAATTGCAATGTTTCAGTTTGTGATTACAATGGGAAGAAATAAAAGGGAATTTAATCTTGTTCTTCCGTCCAATAAGTGGATGTTAGCAAAGCGTGTGAGATAGCATGGAGGCAAAAGTGGTCAAAGTGGGAGAAAGTCCTTGAGTTGTGCACGTCTTGGGCCCGGATGTATTTAATGTTTCCTCCCAATGACCACTGTTCAATTAGCATTTTTCTCTATATTTTCCCAGGGACTTGTTTGCTTTCCAATAAACTTAAAAACATATATATTGTTCTTCTTAAACTTAGACCCACATACTTAAGTCAAATGAAGACAGAATATTCAGCTAACCTGCTCAGACAACTTGATAATGGACAGATATAATCACATCATAGTTTTACCTTGAAATGAATCATTTATTAACTTGCAATTTCGAGTCGTCGCTTAATTGATTCATATTTCACTCAAGGTCTGAAACAGACGGAATCAATAATTCAGCTAGAGTGGATGTCGGCTACCTGCAGGCATTCCTCCAGTGGCTTACTGATGGATGATATCGAAGAGTCTCCTTCAGCATTCAAGTCAAACATTTGCTATGAACTCCCTGACGTGAAGACATCCAAGAATGATTGTTTTATTCGTTGACTTCGCAACTGGGTTGACTGTAAACTAGGTCAGATTGATGGTGTTGCGTCAGAGGATCAATGGAAAGATTTGTTTTCCTTAGATTGTGATATTGGTTAACCCTTAAAGGCAAGCACTTGGCAATAAAAAGAAAGCCTTAATTGCTATTGTCTAATGTATCTAAAATGACTAAATGTCCAACTAACAATCTGAAGACACATGGCCCATTTAGGGTTTTCTTTTTTATTTGACCCTTATTTCACCCATATTACATTCATGGTAAACACACTTTACCCCCATATTGCACCTATATTACACCAGTATTACAACCATCCTACGACCATATTTTACCGTTATTACACCTTTTGATCTGATATCTGTAGAGCATAGGCATCAAAACACAAGTATATCTGTAAGTGATTGTCCCTGTTTTATAACCTTATCTGAACAATGTATCTTCCTATTATACTGTTTTTCATCAATATATTATAGGTCTCAGATATATACAAAACATGTCTCTGAAGTGTTTGGCTCCAAACACCAAACAGATCATTGCAGCATTACCCATAATCCCCTCTGTTTCAGCCCTGTTTCCAAAGTGTTGATTCTCTATCTGTTACTTTAGATCAGGGGTGGGGAACCTTTTTCCTCTCAAGGGCCATTTCAATTTTTTCAACATCCTCCGAGGGCCGTACAAATTATTGACCTCTGCTTAAAAATACTAAAATCACAGCCCATTCATTTCGCCTTTCTTTCATGCTTTGCAAAGAAAAAGCAACGTCTTAATCCAGATATTTGACCATGACCCGCGCATTCATGCACAGAAAGATATGGACACAAGATGTGTGCAAATGTAT